CATAAAAGAAAAGAATTTTAACTTAAGAAAAGCCTATAAATAGACCAACATCTGATTTTTGACATCTAGGTGGGCCAGTCCCTTAAAGGATAGACTCTGGGACCAGAGCGTGGCACCACATCGGACTTGGAGGACACGTCCAGAAGCACATTTGACTTCCATATTTTTATTAATTTTGTTGAGTTGTATTTTCAGACAGTAGAGCCTTTTCCATAGCTCTCCTAACTTCCTTGTAGCCCATGCCAACCTTGCCTTTGATGTCCATAGTTCTGCCCATAGTCTCTTAAAGGCAGTCTAGATTTTTACTGTTGGGTGCCTTAAAACTCTTGAAGCTTTTACCCATTACCCAATTAAAAACTGCTTCCATAGTTGTGTTAGAATAGTCTCTCTACTTCAGTACCAAATTCTAGTGCCGCTATAACAAAAACACCGTAAGTGAAGTAGCTTTAGCAAACATTTCCTCAGTTTCAAAGGGTAGAAGTCAGAATTTGGAGCGCCAGCTCCAAGGAAGTCTTTCTGTGACCTTTGGGAGAAGATCCTTGTCTCTAGATTTCCATGTGACTTGACATCAGTTTTCTCCCATCTGTAATCGCTAGTGTCCTTGTTTAATCTCCAGTCTCTACTTTGACTCAGGGCTCTCTAATTTACTGCCATCGAGTCAGTGGCAACTCATAGTAAAACCTGTAAGACAGCCTAGAATTGTCCCTGGATTTGAGTAGAAAGTCCCCCATATTTCTCGAGGAATGTCTGGTAGTTCGAACTGCCTACCTTGGGATTAGCAGCTAAATGTGTAACCACTCCGCCACTTGGGCTTGTGACTCAGTATACTATACACTAAACCTATCTCAATATAACTGATAATCCATTCCCAAGCGATTATAACTACAGGGAGGATAGATATGTATCAAACGTGTCACAGCCCCTAATGAAATGATTAAAAAAAAAAGACTGGATAACAAACACCATGATAGATGAGGGGGGGACAAGGTGCTCACTTTCCTGGGGCAAGACCTTTGGGTCAACCAATTGGAAGAGATTTATATTCATGCCCATTCAAAAATAATAAAGGTGATACGATGGGATGTGGAAATGAAAAAAAAAAACGTAACGAACCTATTGCCATCATGTTGATTCTGAATCAGCAACTCAATACATGAAAGACTGAACTCACTGCCATCAAGTCAATTCTGACTCAACGACCCTATAGGACAGGTAGTTCCTGTCCTGTGGGTTCTGAGACTTACTTACAGGAGTTAGTCTCATATTTCTCCTATACACACAAGGAGGCTTTGAAAGTTCATGGAAAAGTGGAATTACGATAATGGACATTTTCCACGGATTTTTGAAGCCTTCATATTGGGGGGTGGGGTAATAGTTTTTATCACCCGTTCATACTTTAAAGGCGCCCTGGTGGCGTAGTGGTTGGCGCATTGGAATGCTAACTACAAGGTCAGTTGAAACCAGTAGCTTTCTCCGTGGAGAAGGATGAGGCTTCCGTTTTTATAAAGGCTCAGCGTTTCACAAGGGCAGTTCTGCCTGTCCTCTAAGGTCACTGTGAGTCAATATATTTGGTGGCAGTGAGGTCCTTTTTTTTTTTCTTTCATACTTTATTGTATTTCTAGGGGCTCGAGGAGTTACGCTGAGAATCAAGGTTCATTTGTGCTATTTTTTAAACAAAATTACAAGTGATAAACCAAAAATGTGTAGTGATTATGCTAGTTGACCCTTTAGCAACTCTGGGTAGTGTCCACTCAACCTTTTCTACTTCTGGAGTTTGGTGGGAAGTGTTGTTCCACTTTTGTTATAATCTTGTTGGGGTCTGACTGGATGATTCAGAAGAAATAGGCCTCGTTTTAAAAACCCTAACACCAGAGGGCCCTTGGGGTATATGTGTCCCACTAATTACATTAAAATCTGTTAAAAAGGCCCTGCACCCTCTCACTTTCATCCAAAGTGGCTTCCATTACTGAAAACGGTTTCAACAAAAAATTCAAAGCAGAAAATAATGGATTAATATGATTTGTACTTAATTTGCTTTATTTAGTTCTGCAGAAAGGGTAAAACAAAAGTCATGCAGTCTTTTCAATTCAAACACCTTAACATTTTAAAACACTGAGCAAAAGACATTTTATTGGGTTTTATAAACAGTACATGGTGATAGAAAATAAGATGCACAGAAAATGCACATTTTCATCTTAATTGATTACCTTGGCAATAATATTACGCTATGAAACTCATATTTCACTGAAGAGTATTAAGATGATAATCTTCCATGTATCCTCTGTCAACAGACAAAAATTTAACAGATTGGAATCTCCAGTTTGGCAGTAATGATTATATTGATCAGAGTCAGACAATATAGTACTGTAGTTCAGTTCACATTGTTTTTGCATTCAGCTTGAAGTACATGAAAAACAACATACCTGAAAAAGAACTTTGAGTACCCTAAATTAATTTGAAAGTAGTCTTATTTTGAGTGGAATGGTATTGGCAGCTCTACTTTTACAACGACAGATCGGTTTTTACAACAAGCATCAAAATGGAAGTACGATGACTTTAGTGAGGAAGAATAAGGTCAAAGGGGACACTAAATAGTTTTGAGAAATGTATCGAAAGATGTAATTTTATTGAATTTTCACTTAGAAACAGTCTACACGATGGGTAATAAAGCCTTTAAGACATATTTAACATTTTTATCCAAAGGAAAAACAAATATTTCTTTTCCTTCCCTGGAAAAAAAAAATCCATGTGTTATATGTGATCCTAATCATTATTTACCAGTAGTTTTAGGTTATTGCATGTATTTTTAAAATGTAGTCATTTGAAAATGTTTAGTTCCATATATATGATTAAATAGATATTTTTAATTTTGGGATTTTTTTCTATATTGTTCTTAAATAGATACTTTTAATAGTGTTCACTGTAACAGTGTTAAACAGTTTTAGTTCTAATCAGGAAAGTAAAATAATCTAGGAAGATCTTGTTTGAGAAATTAGTTAACTGATCTAGCCCAGAGGTCAGCAAATTTTTTAGACAAGAGCTAATCCTGTCTGTCCCTCACATTTAAAAATTAAAAATTTGAGAGCCATAAATAATTTTTACAGAGATGAAATCACCGTTATCTGAATAATATCCTTAAAAAATATTTCATTTCACTTCAGAACCACACGTACGTAACTGAAAGAGCTGCATGTGGCTCTTAAACTGCAGTTTGCTGACCTCGGTTCTAGCTCATCGTGGATTTTCTAACTTTTGGGTTGTTCCCAGACCCCATGCTTTGATTTGCTCGGCCTTCCAACCAGCCGGGGACCCAGTTGGTCCTTCAGGGAAGCTACTCAGACACTTTCATGACTTAAGGTTCAAATGAAAAACGTTTTATAAAAACTTAAAAGTTGTTTTGACATTTATATGAGAATTAGTTTGTGGAAAAGTTAAACCATTTTTTATTTTGTAGTTTTTTGGAAGCTCACGCATACTATCAACATTTTAATTTTTGTTTCAAAGATACTGTAGGGTTTGACTGCAAAGTTCTTTAACTGTAGAATTTTGTAATGAATACGCCTATTACTAAACATGATAGGGTTTTCTTCCACTTAGGAGGTGGAAAGAACAGTGCTTACTCTGGGGTCTTTATTATCAGCCTACTCTGCATTATTTAGTAAAGAAAGGAGTATAATATGTTTACTAAGAAGTTCTATATATCATCACTTTTGTCTTTAAGCATTCTGATAGTAATAGATGGGGAATCAGCTAAGTTGGAGATTAATTCCACAGTCCTTTACAAATGTCAGACAAGTTAAAAGGACCTCCTCCACCCTCAGTGTGAGGCAAATATTTTAATTTTTTTTTCTTGAGATTTTACACAAGATCCACAGTCATGATTGAGGAGGAGTTATTCCGAGCTTGTCAGCAAGGTTGGAAGGCCCAGTGGTTACAATACCTGAGGATGTAAAGTGACTCAGCTTGACGGGTCACAGCAAAATTAAGCTGGTGAAGTTCAAGATCTCTGAACTGTAGTACACATACTTGAAAGAGGTCTCTGAGATGTTCGGCAGTGCGTTTATTACCAGGACCAAGTCAATTCTGGAGGCCCTTCTGCTTTTTCAAGTTTCACAAACTTTGACTCAAATTTCTGCAAGTCCAGGTTTCCCCAAGGTGCTCAGGTGTGCTGGCCAGCGCTGAGGCAGCTCCTGCTTCTGTAGTCAGCTCTGCCTGGCACCATCCCCAAGGGATCCCTGGTATGTTCCGGGGTGCGGAGTGTTGACTTTCAGACTTTTTTTTTTTTACCGTGATAGGCATGATTATATGTGCTTCCAAGGAAAAGTTTTGCAAGAGCTTGGAAACAAATTCAAAGAGTCTCCCAAGTTGGGTGTGTGTCCAGACTTGCTGCTTTAAAACACTTTTAAGGTTCCTACTGCAGATACACACTTGCAGAAATCAAAGTCCTTAAAAAGCAGTATACAAACGAGCATTTCTTCACAAGAAAAACCATTTAAAATGTCTCCCTTTCGTGTACTACTCTTCATCCACTGACTGAAGCTTTCCACATTTCTCTGAAAGGCTTGAGGTTACGATTTTACTGCCTTTGTTTCCAAATTCAGAGGGAGGAACAGGTTCATCCGTGTCATAATCTTCAAAGGAGCTGAAAGAACAAGCCAAAAATGAGTTTTCAAAATGTTTACTTAGAAGTCAGTATGTCAAACCAGAGACTCAAGAGCAACCGAAAAACGTGTCCTCACTTGCTAAATGCTAAAATGATAACTCTAAACAATGAGTAGCCCTGAAGACATCACTTGAGAGAAGACATCACTTTTTCGGTTCCTTGAAACTCCCAACCATGTTCGAAGGACCTGGATTGTTAGCAAGCTTTCCCTAGGGGAGGCAGGCTTGGTGGGAAAGAGCACTGTGGATGGTGCTAGCTTAGGGAAGACAAGAGGTCCATAAGTTAGGAGCTTTGTATGAATTGTCATTGAAGTAATTATGCAATTTTGGGAACTTTCTCTAACCCAAGTTCCTTTTTTTCATGGCTGTCAAAAGGAATATTTCAGTGTGCACATGAGCAGACAACACAGCCATGCATGTTTTCCTCCACCTTTACACAGCATTCCTAGATGCTCATTCTGAGACGTCCCATGGCTCGTGCTCTTTTAAAGAAGCTACTGGTATCTCCTGAAACCTCCAGGCTATCCTGGAAGGTGTCTTTAGGTAGAGTTGACAGAAATGGATTTTAGCTCTTGGGAATGTTGGCTGGCTGAATAAATATTTTGAGGTTCCATCTGAGCCCCCAAAGATCTACATTTGGTTGTCACCACAATGTGGGTGATTCAAAGCCAACAGCTACTACGTGGGAGAAAGAGAAGGCTGGCTGCTCATGTAAAGGTTTACAGTTCCAGAGACCCTTTATGGGGTCACTGTCAGGATCGACTTGCTGGTGGTGGGTTTGTTTTTTGGATGTTTGATACAGTAGTTGGCATCCGTGGCTTCGTCTTGGTAACCCTTTGCAGGGCCTTTTGATAATAGCATTGGGACAGAACTACCCAGACATACAGCATCTTCTAAAATATAAAGATTGACAGCTAGGTGCCCTAGAATTGGTTTGAGTTTATAGCAACCCAGAATACAACAGGAGGAAAGGCTGCCCCGTCCTGTGCCATCCTTAGAGTCATTGCTATGTTTAGCACTTGCCATAGCCATTGTTAGTGCTGACCCTCTAACCAGTATGCTATCCTCCTTAAGGCAGTCTGCGTGGAGACGTTGGCTGATGCTGTAGGTGGTACCAGTTCAAGCTTCAAAAACTTATTTTTGCATCTAGAGGCTAGTGAGGGTTAAAATTGGGGGGAGAGGGGAGCCTAGTAATACCTGGAAAACTTCACCATGATTACCGGCTTATGAGCCTATCAAATTGTTTCCAACTTGGTCATTTTGCAAACTCCATATTTAGTAGTTCTCCCCTGTCTCAATCTCCTTAAAGCCTCTGTAACTGGAATACTTTGGAAAAAGGAGCAGTGAGGAGAATATAGTGTGGATAAGAGCTTCCATTTCTGGAACTAAATGCTCAGAAGTTACTCCCTGATTGCTTATGTGTCAGTGGAAGACCTTTTCTTCCTTTGTTTCTGAATTGCCACCTGTAAGGTGTCAGTGTTCTAAACACCTTGATGCAGGTCTGGGAATAGGTACTCATTTCAAGAGTTCAATCTGAAGTGAGACTCAAATATTTGAACTTATGAGCATGAGCTAAAAGCTAGAGCGAGAAAGAGAAGATGACCGAACCAGCAGCTCTCTCACAGTTTGTTGCTTAATGGGGGCCATCTGGAATAGTGGGTAAGTGGTTGCAATCTCAAGTTGATCACTAAACATGGCTTTCAGCATGTTACTTAACCCTTCTGTATCAGTTTCCACAACGAGTGAGATGATAAACGGTTCTTAACCTCTGTGAGGTTGAGATGGAGCTTCTATTTTCATGTTGGGGAAGTGATGAGGCTTAGTGGAGCATGATGCTGACGTGTGGCCTTATGTGACTGGGCAAGGTTAGAGAGAGAACATTGAACATTTTTTTTTGTCATTTGTAAATAAAAGATTTAAGAAAGAAACCATAATTACTCCTACCCTAGTCTCAGGCCAGAAGTGTGATTTCTAAGCAATGGATTTAATTCTGTCTAGACACTTAGTTGGCATTGACTCAATGGCAGTAAATTCAGCCTTGAGTTTTAGTACATACCGTATACGTATAAGCTGGCCTGAATATCAGCTGGGGCCCCTAATTTACCACAAAAACCATGAGAAATGTGCTGAAAAACTAGGCTTATACTCACTCGAGTATATGTGGCACATTCTAATGTCCTGTGGGCTTGAAAAGCTGGAAAGGATGTGGGTGTTAATGTATGTTAACAATTTTAAGAAAACAGGTATCTGAAAAAGTTACCTTGAGATTTACCTCTTTGGAGTTTGTATTTTACCATTCATAGTCAAGTGAAGCTTGTAAATCATTTGACGTTTGCAGCAACTAAAGTTTTTCTCTCAAAATCCCTGACATCAGCTTTTTAAAGATCTTGATCCGTTTTCTTCAACCCAAGCAATCTACTGTGACCCCACTGCAGTAAAACTACTCTTGTCAAGGTCACCAGTGAACTTTCAAGTTCTTGACTCCTACTTTTAAAATGTGCTTTTCAGATCTCTCCTTTGAGTGCTAGATTTACATCCCAAACCCTATTTCTTGGATCATTCATGAGCTTTACATCAAATGTCCCAAAGGGAACTCTTGAATACTTTAAAACAAAATCTGTTCCATTACTAGGTTAATCTGCTTATCTATTATGATTACACTATAAACTATGGTATCATAACTCCTTTTTTTTTAACATTTAATATCCAATACATCTGCAAACTTGTTGATTCAACCCATCAGCAAATTGCCTCTTAAACAAATGAAACAAAACACCAAATTCACTGTCGTACACTCGATGCTAACTCATAAAGTAGAACCACAGTAGAACTGCCCCTGTGGGTTTCAGAGTGTAACTTTACGAGAGTAGAAAGCCCTGTCTTTTTCCCTCTGAGTGGTTGGTTTTAAACTACTGTGATCTATGCCCGTTTTTCCCTTTCATTACTATTGTCATCCTAGCCTTGAGCTACCGTCATCTCTATGTGGACTTTAGTGATTTCTTTTTTCATCTCCATGCTTTGATTCTTGTACTACTACCAGTCTAGCAGAGTAATTTTCAAAAGGCACAAGTAGAAATTACATTACTTTCATGTTTACCATTTTTCAAAAGCTTCCCTAGGCCCTACGTGATCTGTTATGTTCCGAATTAGAAGGCTCCTGTGTACAACAGAAGGAAACGTCCAGCCCTGCACCATCCTTCTCTGTGTTAGTGCTTAAGCCCACTGTGTCAATCCATCTCACTGACACCCTCTATGAAGAATGATGCCAGTTTCCAGGAAGTGCTTTCTCTTGATAACATGGTTCAAAGCACATTCGAGAACGTCTCACCATCCTCATTTCTAAGGAGCACTATGGCTGCACTTTCTCCAGCAGTGTATGACTCTTTAATTATTCTTTGTCAACACCATAATTCAAAGGCATCAATTCCTCTCTGGTGTTACTCTGTCCAGCTTTCACACGTATATGAGGTGGTAAAAAATACCACAGTTCTTGATTGTGTTAATTTTTGAAATGGTTGAACATCTTTTTGGTCATTCTGTGTATTCCTTCCATCTTACTAGCCCTTGCTAATCGTTCCAACCCCATTTCCCTCCATTCCTCACAACTCCAGGTACACTGGTTTCTTTTTTCTTCTTAAACACTTCCCCAACATGCTGTATTCTGCCTCAGATTTATTAGTTTGTTCACTGCTGCTCTCATGGAAAGTGGATGGCTTTAACAAACAAGAATTTACTTTCTCACAGTTTAGGAGACTAAAAGTCTGAACTTATGGGAAGGCTTTCTCTCTCATATCTCTGGGGGAGGTCCTTGTTTCTTCAGCTTCTGTATCCTGGCCCCTTGGGGCTTCTGTCAATCTTCCCCCAGTCCTAACTGCTTGAGGTTAACATAAAATATTATGTTAATTTATAACCGATTCTGTCTCACTAATAGAACAAATCGCATTTAGACCCAAATTAGGTGGTAACCACAGGCATCGAGACTAGGAATTACAACGCAAATTTGAAGGAGATACAATTCAATCTATAACACCCTTTGGTCCTCCAAAACATGCCCACATGCAAAATACATTATCCTATAACACAAATGCTGAAAGTCTTACGTGGGTTCCAAGTTCAAAATCTTGGAATCATTGGAAACATACTAGTTTCCTAGGGCTGCATAACAAATGACTACAAACTTGGTAGCTTAGAACAAAAATGTATTTTCTGTGTTTTGGGAAGCTTGACAACTATATCCAAGTTTTGACAGGCCCAGTGTTCCCTCAGAAGCACTAGGGAACCGTCTGTCCCTTGACTCTCCTAGCTTCTGGTTGTGGCCGGCCATCCTTGCCATCCCTTGGATTGTAGTTGCATCCCTCCATTTTCTGCCTTGGTCTTCACATGACCATCTTCCCTCTGTGTGTCTGCACTGCTCTTCCTCTTAACTGGACACTCATTCACTGCTGTGCAGTCAGTTCTGGCTCACCGTGACCCTATAGGACTTGTTTCCCAGAACGTAACTCTTCACAGGCGTGGAAAGCTCTATCTGGTTGTCTCCTAAGAGGTTTCCAGCTGCTGACCTTGTAATTAACAGCCCAATTCATAAGCACTGTCGCTAGAGCTCCTTGACTGGAGCAGAGCCTCATTTTTTCTTTCAAAGTTAGCAGCCCAACATGTCACCCACTAGTGCTAATCATTGGATTTAGAAAACTCAAAACATTGAGTCGATGTTGACTCATCCAACCCTATAGGACAAGGTAGAACTGTCCTTGTGAGTTTCTGAGACTAACTCTTTACAGGAATAGAAAGCCCCATAGGGAGCCATTCTAAACCAATATTATTCCCTCTTAACTAAATGTATTTACAAAGTCCCAAATAAGATCCAAATCTGCAGTTCCATGTGGAAATGATTTTTTTTTTTGGTGGGGTGGGAGAGGGGGTGCTGGGAAGTAATATTCAGTCTAGTAGCAGGGTCATGAGGTCATCACAGTTGTCAATTCT